ATATAATCAAGTTGACATAGAGAGATAAAAGAAAATATCAAGCAAATTCTAACAAAGCAGACAAAAAAGAATTCAAGGCAAAAAGCATTCAAATGACAAGAAATGATATTTCTTGTTGGTATTTGAAGAAATAATGACCAAAAACTTTTCAAATTTTATGAAACTTCAAGCCAACTGATTCAAAAAGCTCAATGACTCAAAGCATATGAAACAAGAAGAAAATTACACAAGGAAAATTACACAAAGGAAATCTTTTGTTTAAAACTAGTGTTTGAGTTGTAAGAATTCAAACATATTCTGGATCCTGAATCCTTATCAGATATGTGATTTGCAAATATTTCATCTCATTTTATGGATTGTCTTTTCACTTTCTTAATGTCCTTTGAAATACAAAGTTTTAAATTTTGATGGAGTTCCTTCGTATTTTCTATAAACAAAATTATGTCATTTGCAAATAGGGACAGTTTTACTTCTTCCCTTTCTAATTTAAATGACTTTTATTATATTTTTCTTGCCTAATTACCCTGGCTAGAACTTTCAGCACAATGTTGAATAAAAGTTGCAAGAGTAGACAATTTTATTCCTAATCTTAGGGAGAAAGCATTTGGTTCTTTACCATTAAGTATGATGTTAGCTGTGGTTTTCTTATAAATACTCTTTATAAGGTTGTGGAAGTTCCTAATTTGTTGAGTTGTTATCATGAAATGGTGTTAGGGTTTGTGAAATGATGTTCTGTGAGTATTAAGGTAGCCATGTGGTTCTTGTCCCTTATCCTATGTAATATGCTATATTACATTTATTTTTGTGTGTTGAACCCCACTTTGCATTCCTTGACTAATTCACAAATGATGATGGCATACAGTCCTTTTCACATGTTGCTAGTATTATTTTCAGGATTTTTCCCTTTATAGTCCTAAGATATATTAGTTTGTAGTTTTCTTGTGGTATTTTTATCTGATTTTGGTATCAGAGTAATAACTGGCCTCCTAGAATGAGTTGGGAAGTATTCCTTCTTCTTGTATTTTTTTTGTTTGTTTTAAGAGAGACAGGGTCTTGGTCACCCAGGCTAAAGTGTAGTGGTGCGATCATAGATCACTGCTGCAGCCTTGAACTCCTAGGCTCAAGTGATCCTCCCACATCAGCCTCCTGAGTAGCTGGGACTGCAGGTGTACACAACCATGCCTGTCTAATTTTTAAAAAATATTTTGTAGAGATGAGATCTCACTATGTTACCTAGGCTGGTCTCGAACTTCTGGCCCCAACCAATCCTCCAGCCTCAGCCTCTGCCTTCCAATGTGCTGGAATTACAGGCATGAGCCACTGCTCCTGGCTCCTCTTCTTGTATTTTTTCTTTTCTTTCTTTCTTTTTTTTTTTCAGGGTATTATGAGGGTACAAACATTATGGTTACACTTTATGTCTTTGCCTCACCCAAGCGAGGGTTAAAGGCATGCCCTTCCCCCTACAATGCTCCCCGTGTCCTTTAGTTGTGGGTTTATCCCCCCCATCCTCCTAATCCCTGGAGAGTATTACTGCTACAAATAGCCCAATTCAAAAATGTGCAGAGTTTTAATAGACATTTCTCCAAAGATCATACACAAATGCCCAATAAACCCGTGAAAAGATGCTCAACATCATTAGTCATTAAAGAAATGCAAATCAAAACCACAATGAGATATCACTTCACACCACTAGGATGGCTATAATCAAAAAGATAGACAATAATAAGTGTTGGTGAGGATGTGGAGAATTTGAAAAATTTAAACGAGTCAGCCACTTTAGAAAAGTTTTGGCATTCCTCAAAATGTTAAACAAAGAGTTACCATATGACCCAGGAAGGATATATCTAGCGTATATACCCATGAGAAACAAAAACACATGTCTGCAATAAAACTTGTACACTAATGCTCACAACACCATTATTTATAACGTGCAAACACTACAAACAAAATGTGGTATTATCCACTCAATAGATATTATCCACACATAAAAAAGAATGAAGTACTGATACATGTTACAAAATGGATGAACCCTGAAAACATTATGTTAAGCGAAAGCCAGTTGCAGAAGACTACATATCATATGACTGCATTAATGTCACACATCCACAGTAGGCAAATCTATAGAAACAGAAAGTAGGTAGGTCGTTGCCCAAAACTGAGATGTGGGAGGTGGGATGGAGACTGACTGCTAATGGATATGGGTTTCTTTTGGGGATGATAAAAACATCTAAAAGTAGATCATGGTGATGCTTGCACAACTCCGTGAATATTCTAAATACCACCGCACTGTATACTTCATACGGGTAAGTTGTATGGTCTATGAATTGTATCTCCATAAAGCTGTTTAAAAAAGAAAAAAAAAATTAGTGTTTCAAAAAAAAATATCTTAAAAGCAGCCAGAGGAAAAAATATACATCACATGCAGAGCAGTGTTTCTCAACCTATGTTTTCGTTATCACTCTACTAAGGAGCTTCTTTTGACATATTTTCCTAACCAACCCCCCATTATGAAATTTTAATACCAGACATATACTATATAACTATTCATGGACTATAAGTGTATTTGTGCTTCAGACAGAAAAAAAAAATGTAAGATGCTTTCACCTCTAGAGGGCAAATTTCTAGCAAGTTCCAGAAGGCAGATTTTCAGCAAGTTTTTCTGGTGGGACACAATAGGGCTTTCTCTGACAATCAATGAGTACTATGCACTGTCTCTCCAACAAGGTTTAGATCTCAGTCCTCGGATAGGGGGATGGAGGATCTTCCTTGGGTGCCCTATTTCAGCTCTAGAGTTAGCAACTGCTTCTTATATCTGTCAGTTCTATATTCTATACTTCTTACTGTCCAATCCCTCATTACTCTAATTCCCTGTTATAGTTTATAATTCCTCATATTAAACTTTCCTTGTTCAAATTACTATGTGGTTTCTCTCTCCTAATTGAACCCAGACTAATACAACCTGATATCAAAACCAGACATAGACATTTCAAGAAAGAAAGAAAAGAAAAAACTATAGACCGATATCCGTCATGAACGTAGATGCAAAAATTCTAAACGAAACTGAATTCAAAAATATATTAAAGGAATAATACATCATGGCCAAGGGGATTTTAATCCAGGAATTCAGGGTTGATTTAACATTCAAAATCAATATAATTCATCATACCCACACACTAAAAAGGAAAAATCATATTATCATCTCAATAAATGCAGAAAAAGCATTTGACAAAATTCAATATATACTACTGATAAAAACTCTCTCAGCAAACTAGGAATGTGAGGGAACTTCCTCAACCTAAGAAAGAGCATCTAAGGAAAACCTACAGCTAACATCATAATTAATGATGAGGACAAAAATTAAATCAAAAGTAATCATAACCTAAATGTAAAATCTAAACCCATAACTTCTAAAAGAGGCCATAAGAGAAAATCTCTCTGACCTTGAGTTGGTCAAAGATTTCTTAAATATGATACCAAAGCACAGTCCATAAAGAACAAATTAATAAACTGGATTTCATCAAAATTAAAAACATCTGTCCTTCATAAGACATTGTTAAAAGAATGAAAAGGTAAGCCATAAATTGAGAGAAAATCTTTGCAAAGACAAAGGACTTTAACCAGAATATATAAAGAACTCTCAAAACTCAACAAGAAAACAAGCAACCCAATTTAAAAATGAGTAAAAGATTTAAACAAACACTTCACCAAGGAAGATATATTGCAAATAAGCACCTGAAATAACACTAAACTTTTTTTTTGTCATTAGGGAAATGTTAAATTAAAATCACAATGGGATGCCACTACATATCTATTAGAATATCTAAAAGTGGAAAGACTGACCATAGCAAATGTTGGTGAGGATATGGAGAAACTGGAATTCTCATACAATGCTGGTGGAGATACAAAATCTACAACTACTATGGAAAATGGTTTGGCAGTTTCCTAAAAAGCTAAACATGTATCTGCTGTATGATCCTATCCTGCATGATCCGTATGCCCATACAAAGTCTTGTACATGATAGTTCATAGGCAGCCTTTTCATAATAGCCCAAAACTGAAAGTAACCCCCAAATTTCTATCACAGATGAATGGATAAAAAATTATGGTATATCCACACATGAAGGAATACTAACTCAGCTCAGCAGTAAAAAAAGGAATCAACTATTTAATATTTATATTAATACTAATACATGGAACAACATAAGTGAATCTCAATTATACTGAAAAAAGCCAGATCCTCCTCAGCACCCCCAAAATATATATATATATATATTTCTATTTATCACAACACTTTATGATTCCATTTAAATAAAATTCTAGAAAATACCAACTGATCTCTAGTAACAGAAAGTCTATCAGTGATTGCTTTGGGATGGGGCAGCAGGGAAAGTTGAGAGGGAGGAATTACAAAGGGGCACAAAGTAGTATTTAGGGGTGATGAATATATTCACTATCCTGATCGTGGTGATGATTCCATGGGTGTATGTATATACATGTCAGATTTATCAAATTATAAACTTTAAATGTATGTAGTTAATGATATACCTCAATAGATCTTTGTCTAAGAATAACTACTAAAGGATGTATTTCAGGAGGAAGAAAATTGAAACCAGAAGGAAGTGTCATAAAAAAAGCAAAGTTGAAAAAAGAAACTGGTATCCACTGACGATATGTTCTCTTACGTGTAGTCTCAAGACTCTAGGTTTTCAGAGGAAAGTCTATTCATAGAGTCACCAGGGGTATTTTTACACCATGACTTCAAGGACTTTTGCTGTCTCAGAACTAAGATATTTCCATTCCCAAAGGTCCCTGGTAAAGATGAGGATAGAAACAGGAATCTCAAAGAATTTCTGAGGAACATACAGTTAAAAGAGGCTGTGGAATTTTATCACCATCTAAGTACACTATTCTTTATTGCCCCTTCAAATCTACGCCCCAAGATAATAATAAGCCAAGTGACGGCGAATACAGACTGATAAAAATAAATTCATTCACAGACAAGAGAAAAACAAGTTTTACACAGCCACAAGAGCCAGTTAAGGACTCACAAGTACTGTTCCAACTATCCAGGTGGAAGAGATCATTAAAACAGGTGAGTAAGCGAAACTATGGAGACTGCCTTTCTCTACCTCTAATCTTGGCTGTGGTCAGTGAAGGAGGGGAAGCAAAGCAAAAGAAATTCTATGTCTCTGCCAAGGTCTTCTCTCAAGGAGAAGAAAGAGAAGAAAACGGAGAGAGTTCAAATGAAAGTGTGGGAAACAAAAAATGACAGTGAAAGCCTTTCTTTCTAACAAGGAAAGGCTGGTTTTGACTGTGACATGGCATGAAGATGAAATACTCTCCTGGTAACCAACCAGCAAAGTGCCCAGCTCTCCATAGGGAGCAGACACAGACACAGTCACTCAACCTAACATCTACTTGGAGAGAGGGAGAAGGATGTCAAAAATACCTGCTTGCAGCTTATAATATTTCTTTGCCTTATTTCATGTATGACATTGACTGGGTGGGAAATGTGTAAATACACCACAGGAATTCAGAATGTGGGAGAGATCAGTGTAGTCTAGAGTTATTCTAGAAAGTTTTCCGAAGAGGTGGGCCCTGAGATGGACGAGTTTGGACTGGTGTGGGGGCAAGCCATCCTGGGTGGGCAGCAGGATGTGTCATACACAAAGCCAGAAAAACCCAAAGATTTTTTTAATCTGTGTCTTTGAAAGTATGTGTACATAGAACTGTGTATATGTGTATATCTTTGTATCATGCCTTGTGTGTATATTTTAAATTTACATAAAGAATGTTGTGATAAAGATTTATAACGCTTATTACTTTCTTCACTTTGTACTGTTTTTAATAGCCCTCTACATTGTACATAAATCTAATAAGTTGTTTCTAACTGCTGGATGGTGTCCCATGGTACACCTCCACTACGTTTTTCTTAACCTTTTCACAGAAATACACAGGAAAGTCTATTTAATTCTGTACAACTACACACACAGGTATACAATCAACTGCAATAAAATTTTGTATGGGATTCTTTAAGGACCTGACTGAAAAGCCCCCGGTGATGTATCCAGACTGGATTGCTTGGACTTAGAACATAATTAGACACAATTTAAAACAAAACACAACAAACAAAAACATTGTCATACTGCTTTCAAAAATGATTATATTAATTTGTACTCTTACCAACAGTGCCACAGAGTTATGTATAAAAGTGTGATTTATATGATCCAGTTGGATTTATCACCCAGTAATGGTAGGATGGTTTAGCTTTAGAAAATATATTAATTGAATTTATCATATTTAAAGACAAAAGTTTAAAAACTCATATAACTGCTTCGATAAATCTGAAAAAGCCTTTGACAATAATTCAACTTCCATTAACAATAAAACACTTAGCACACTGTGTTTTAGAAGACAATTTCCTCAATCTAGTATTAAGAGAAGGCACTAAAAAAAGCAAATATCATCCACCAAACATCATATATTTAATCAACATGGTGAAATGTTGAAACTAGCAATGCAAACAAGACAAAGGTGCCTAATATGGTCACTTCTAACCATCTTTGTTCTGAATGCGTGCTGATATAAAAGCACTCTAAAAATAAAGCACTTGCATGCATATCTGTATATCACCCACAAACATTTGGAAAATGAAATTAAAATACTAAATATAGAATTAATGTACATATACACATACATATACATGTGTGTATAGTATATATTATAGTATATAATTTATGTTTCCAAATTTATATATATATATGTGTATGTATATACATGTTTCAAAAAATAATGGACTAGCTTGTAATCTCCTTTTGAGAACAACTAGAAAAACTGGATCATTTTATTTTTAATCTTTTGGAAACAACAGAGAGTAACCAAGGTGGTGAGAGCTTGAGAGACCTAGAGCCCAGAGAGAAAGTAAGAGAGGAGCCGAGAGTAATCAGGGAAATAAAAGGAAAATGAAGTAGCATATTCAAAGTGCTGATACCCTCCCCACCAAAACAAACAAACAAAAACACTTGTCACTCTGCAAAATAACCCTCAAAATGAAAGCAAATAAGGTTTAAAAATTGTGATTTTGAGAATTTCTCACTAGCAGATTTAGACTTACAGAACATTAAAGACAGTTCTTCAAGCAGAAGAAAAATTCTCCCAAATGACAGTACAGAAATGTAAGGAAGAATGAAAAAGAAGGAAACTAAGTGCATAAATCTAAATGGATGAGGATTATACAAAATAACAGTAATAATATATTGTGGTGTTTTAAATATTTCCAGAATTAAGCGGGGCAATGTGGTACACACCTATAGTTCCAGCTACTCAAGAGGCTGAAGTGGGAGTATCACTTGAGCCAGGAGTTCAAGCCCAACCTGGGAAACACAGTGAGACTCCATCTCTAAAAACATAAATAAAATAAATTAATATTTCTAAAATTAAAATACCTGACCATAATAGCAAGAAAATATGAAGGAGTTAAATATAAATGGAGTATAGTTTTCTAAGGTCCCTCATTTCCTAGAAATTAGTAAAAGTGCCAATTTATATTATATTAAACTTCATTAAGTTAAAGATGCATATTAGAATTTCTAAAATATAGTAGAAATTACTAAAGTATTTTGCATAACTGACAAGATAACTGAGAAGGAAAATAGAATAATAAAAAAATTTTGATTAAAACAAAAGGAGGGGCTGGACGGGATGGCTCACACCTGTAATCCTAGCACTCTGGGAGGCTGAGGTGGGAGGATTGCTTGAACTCAGGGGTTCAAGACCAGCCTGAGCAAGAGCAAGACCCTATCTCTACTGAAAATAGAAAAATTAGCCAGGCATAGTGGTGCCCACCTGTAGCCCCAGGTACATGGGAGGCTGAGGCAGGAGGATCACTGGAGCTCAGTAGTTTGAGGTTACAGTGAGCTATTATGACGCCACTACACTCTACTCAGGGTGACAGAGTGAGACTCCATCTCAAAAAAAAAAAAAAAAAAGAGTCACCAAGAGAGAAAACTGAATAGAGAACAGGTGGGACAAATAAAAACCAATTTGTAAGATAAACTTACATAGATACATCAATGGTAATATGAAGTGCAAATGGACTAGGAGGTTCCAGTTGCAAAAGATGGCAGCCTGGCCTAAATGAGACTAGCGTTTCACAGACAACAGTATTAAACTCTGAAAAAGTATATTTAGAAAAATTATTTGAAAGCGCTAGGAGGAAAAGGCCAAAAACTGGCAGAAACTGGAGGGGATTTGACCCTTAAAAGAAGGAAATCATGCTGAGTGAGGGCCATGCTTTAAGGACTTTTCCCTGACAATAAACCTCGCTGAATACTGCTCATGCAACTTAAATTCAAGCAGAAAACTGCAGACTTGTGGCCTGGAGGTGTCATGTGATGGAGTTCGAGGCAGTCAGAGTGACTGGAGGCTGAGCAGGGAAACTACAGAAAGGGGAAAGCCTTAGAGGAAAGAGCCCCAAAGTCTACTGTCAAATCCTTGACTGACTCCTGAACTGTGTGTGCACAAGACAGACACCACAGAGCCCAGCAGAGAATGACTGGAAGCCTGCAATAACTGAGTAGGGACATCACCCGTTGTCCACTGCAGGGGGAAACAGACTTTGTAGTTTGAGTTCCAGTAAAGTAGAGGAGCTTGATAAAAAGCCCGAGCTTTTCAAGGCCCACTTGATAAAACCAAGTCTCCATAGGTTCAAAATGAGAAATATAAACTATGTTCATGAATTGGAAGACAATATTATTACTAGAGCAATTCTCCCTAAATTCATCTACAGATTAAGAGCAATAAATTCCAACAGGTTTTTGTAGACTTGTCAAAAGTTAAACATACGTTGATCAGTTAATACCAATTTGATATTTTTAAGAATAACAACTATTGGATGTTGGGCAGGGGGCAGGGGGGAGGGG